CCATGTGGTCACCTCCAGGGCAGGCGGGAATCGAACTCATGCAGAAGTGGCTTTAGCTTCTCAGTGCAGTGCTTTAACCCACTGTGCCACCAGGGAGCGCCCGGCACTTATATTTTAATGAACTTTTTTTGTCGTTTGTTGTTGTTTCCTCTCCCTCCTTGCAACATTCTAGAATGTAAGATCTATAAAAATATCATGATCCATCTATACCCTGTTGAAGGCGTCATCCTCCGTACTACCTGGCTCAAAGTAGGTGCTCAATAAATATTTATTAAATGAATGAGCTGATAACTATAGAACTTATTGAACTTGAAGCTAGAGTAAATTAGAGTAATGTAATTAGGAGCAAAGTAGCCAAACCCTCTGACATTTCATCTGGCAAATGAGCACGCTATTGACCGCATTGGGCTTGATTACCAGCTGTTCTTTACTCTCAGCATAGGGAATGATCTCATCCTGCCTTTGTACAATCCCTGAACTATTCACTCACTTCCTTCCGTGTGCTATTCATCCACTTACTGTTCAGATTGTCTTTAAGCTGGCTGAATAAGACCTCAGTCACTTATTAACCATTGCACTTAAGTTTTTATTGCTTAGTGCTTCCTATCCAGCAGCTGTACTAGGGCAGTGTCTGTTCAGTCTGTTCCAAACTGAAGTTAAATTAAGAGATATGCTGTAGAATTATGAGACCATTGATGTATTGGGAGCGAGTTTCCTGTGATCTAAAAATGGAGGAACGAGGTGATGCCACTCTCTATTTATAGATCAAGAAAAGTAAATCAAAGAAGTGAGAATAAAGGAGAGAAGGGAATTCAAGCTGATAGGGTAACGTCTAAATATTCTGTTCTGTTCAGCCAGTGGGAAAGTGCTCACTTCCTCCTAAAAGCCTCTGTGTGTTTACCCTGTGGGCTACAAAGCACATTTCATCAATGTTACTTCAGTTGGCGGCACTGGTTATGCTTCCAAAATAAGCAGCGTGTGAAGGGAAGAGGGCATTTTCCGTGAATCCATGTACCTGAGTTTGCATGTGTGTACATACACATGCTGCCTGATAAAAAGAGAAGACAGAACTAGTGATTGTGTAATCTGGCACATCTTGGTTTGTTTTCTGCTTTAGGACAACACAGGCTTAGGTTTGTGAGCAGCTTTGTGCGGAGCCTATAGTGAGCTGTCCTGTTTCTCAGCAGTAGTAGTGTTGGCATTTTTGGCAGGACTATTCTATGCCCTTGTGCCCAATGCAAGAGGGTCCCGTGTTTTGCAAGCTATTAGCATCCCTGATCCTCAGAGACTACTGCCTTGCCTCCAAGTCATCATGACAACCAAAAATATCTCTATACATTGTCATAACAAAGCCCCCCATGGGGTGACAACTGTCCTGGTACAGCTAAGCAGAAAGTAGGACAAGTAAAATGGCAATTTGACAAAGGTGACAGATTTTAATAGTGGTTGGGCTGAAAAGAGCAAGGGTTGGCAAACCACAGCCTGTTTTCATAAATAATGTTATATTGGGACACAGTCGTGCCCATTTATTTTCTCCAAGGCTGCATTTGTGCTAAGGCAGAATGGAGTAGTTGTGATGGTGACTGGAAATATTTAGATATAAAGCCTAATGGGCTCACCACATAGACCTTTACTGTGCTGACATTTGGTCTAGCGATCATAGACTTCTGGCCCCTTCCTCAAGGCCACAAACAAACCTGAAATCTCAGACATCAGAGTTTATTTTTTTTTAAGATTTATTTATGCATACAAGAACTGGGGTGTAGGCCAGAGGTGCGGGGTGGGGTAGGGGTTAAAGGACTCATCAGAGACAGAATGAGGATTAGAACAGGCAGATCTACTGACATGTAATGCTGAGGGGAGCAGGGGTGAGGGGGAAGGTAGGGGTCGAACTCATGCCACAGTGGCTGGTGATTGCTTGAGAGCCCTGAGGCTGTAAGCCCTGTGCCACCAGGGAGTCCTCCAGCATCAGGGTCAGAAGGACCCTGCTATACCTAGTATTCTAATCTCTTGGTCCTCTCTACCCATATTCCCATTCTCCTAGTATTTGGATTTCTTGTCATTTCTATTTTTAGAGTGGTGAGATGGAACAAAGTAAGAATGGTGGTGTTCACTACTTTGGACTTAGGCTAGAATATGGTTTTGCTGTTTTACGATACAGTGTTGTCATGCTAGCTCCTGTCCCTCTTTACATGTCTGTTCTGCTTCTCTCTGCTGCTTTCCAAGATTTCTTTAGGAGAAGGTAGGAAACATGAGGTTATGGAGTCTGATACTAGCACCTTCTCTGTGCCCGGTCATGTTCTGAGAACATAAGCAAGATAAAGACAAGATAAATGTGGAAAATTTTCAAACAATCTTGGTATAGTTGGAGAAAGCATATAAGAGATGAGATCAAATCCTGGTTTTTGCAGGAGCCTTTGCACTAGTCCTGTAGCTGCTTTAACCTTTATTTCATTGTCAGTAACATGAGAAAAGTAATGTCCATCTTGTAGGACTTTTATAAATGCAAAGTGAACTTTTTGTGAAAATAATTGTGTTTAATAATTGTTTTGCAAATGCTTTATGAAACACAAAGTACTTAAGACATGTGCTCATTTGTGTTCAGGTTAGTGGTGCTCATGGTCTTCATGATGAATAGGGGGTTTTCACTTGATCTTAGAGGAGATAGGGCCTTTGACTAGGTGAGGAGGGAGAAGGGAGCTCCGCATGTGCTTGTGGCCGGGGACCCCTCTGACACAGGTGTGGCTCCTGTGGTGGGAGGGGCAAAGAGCCAGCTGAATGGGCCAGAGCTGGGGTGAGGAGTAGCAGAGAAAGGGTTGGACAGATATGCCAGCCCTGGAGGAGATGCTTTTGCTACTATGAAGGCCACTCCACTGGTTAGGAAAAAAAAAAAAAAAAATGGGACTATTATGAAGGAATGATTTTCCAGAGAAAGAAAATAGAATTCAGAATATTTCCCAGGTTTTTCATATTGTATCTATAGCAACATTTAGAAATATTAGAGATGAGCTCAAAGCACCCACAACGTATCTAATGTACAAATGCTGTTTTAGATGACTGTTATGTTTCTAGAGGTAACAGCATTAAAGCTTAGGGTAATGGCACAAGGGACTAAATTTTTTTGATGTGGTATTTTTCTTTTGTTGATAACTTTATAGGTAATAACTACAAAGCACTAGAAAAGGGGGTTAAATTCTATAAGTATTCTATAAGTATTGTACTGTTTTTCTCTATTAGAATAATCTGTTATATACAAAGCCTTTTCTGAAGGCTTACATGACTTGTAGACCATACTTTAATAAGCTGCTGAATTTTAAAATCACTAATATAGGCCAATCTATAGCATGTCCTCTAGTAATTAATGATTAAACTCATGATAAAAATCACAAGGTTAAAAAAAGGCAAAACAATGGGACTCTCTCCCTTCACCAAATTCAACTCAAATCAGTTGCTTTCTTGCATCCTCAGAAAAACCTGTGGCTCCTTATCTAATTACTCCGGTCGATATGCAGACTGGCTTTCGGTACCCAGCTATTTTTCTTTACGTAACAATTAGAAACTTTGCACTTTATATCTTTGTTTTTTAAACCAAAACCTCAAAGTGTGATAAGTAGTCTTGTTGAACAAAGTACTGTAGATACAATTGTAGCACCTGGCACAAAAGATTTTTAGAATTTGAGCCAAATTATCGTAAGAGTCTGCCTGTTGATATGTTTTTCTGCGATTCAAATTATTTCTTGATACTGAAATTAATTTTTGGTGAATTTTATTTTGTGACATTTATGAGTATGCTAAATGAGTGAATAATATAGGTGGTAGAATATAGATCCTGTATCTGCAGTAAAATTGGGAAATAAAAATTGTGACTTTTTTTCAGAAATGCCATTGTCTTTGTCGCCACTGAATACAATAGAACAGGACCAGTTATAGAACAGAATAATTGCCTTTAGTACAATACAGCTAAGAAATGTCCTGCACTAGGTAGAAGTTCACATCCATGTTTGAGTTAGTTATTTATTTTAAAAGATGTATTCATTTATGCATACAGAACTGGAGGACAGGTCAGAGGTACAGGGGTGGGAGAGAATTCTCCAGAACAGAGTGGGGAGCAGAACAGAAAGATTGAGAAGTACACTGTTGAGGGAAGCAATGGGCAACACCGGAAAGTTCTGCTGCACCATGTGGGTCACCATGTGGGATCAAACTTGCACTGAAGAGGCTGTGGCTAGCTTGCAGTGCTGCACTTGAACCTGCTGCGCCACCAGGGAGGGCCCTTACTGAAAAATTAAATACAACCTGAGCTAAAACTCTCAGTGCCTTCTTCACAGGAATAAATAACACTCTCTGATGACTGGCTCTTTCTCCCTGAATGTTTTCCTGAGTGTTGTCATTTCTGTGACCTACTAGTGTATTTTCACATTTTATGACTGATTTTTCTCTAAAATGGCCCCCCCCCAAATTAACACAGAAATGCTGTGATATGACATACCAAGAAAATAAGTCTTAGGTAAGCTCCGTCTAGCCATGAGTTTAGTGTTTATCAATCAATAATAGTATTAAGATGTTTCTAAACAGAAGCATATATAAAACAAGATTATGTATTAATTAATTTTTAAAAATGTTGTGACCAGAGGTTACAGGAACTTAATAGTGAATTTCCCCCTGATTCAGTCATGTCTTTAAGGAAATTTTGTAGAACATAGCTGCAGGAAATCAGGTAGAATCAGCTGTATCTACAATAAAACATTAGAGTTTAGTAGTATTTTAATCTATGCAACTTTTCTTTTTACCAAGAATTTAAATGAATTAAAATATACTCTGAAGCTGTGTAAAATCTTATTGTAATATCCTTGACTTATTAGCTATTTTTTCTCCATAAAGAGCTTTTCCGTATCAGCTAGTTACTTGGAAATATAGTTCATATAGGAAAAGCATACTATAATAAATGAATGATTTTCTTCCTTTTTATTTATCAACTTCCTTCCAACTTAATGGGTTAATCAATTGGTGCCTTACCAAACCTTAGTGGTAAAACAGTTCATGGCATGTAGGGGACATATATACATACCTGTGGGCGGGGAAGGGGGTGTGTTTATTTCCCATCCAAAATCTTTCTAGATTTTAGTTAAGAATGAAAACTGGTGGGTTGTATATACTTCTATTTAGTCCTTGGAAGTAGAAATAAGAGCAAAACTAGTGCGAATGTGCAGGATAAAGTTTCAGCTCTTTATAATGAAGAATGTTTTGGTAATTAGAGCTTTCTCCTCCTAGACATATTCAAGTAAATGAGTTAACCTTGCGAAAATGACTGCTTTCATTTTTCCTTAAGTTTATTAAAAAAAAGGAGTGCTGGGGCCCTCCCTGCAGGCGCAGCGGGTTAAAGCACAGCACTGAGAAGCTTAAGCCACTTCAGCATGAGTTCGATCACCACCTGCCCCGGAGGTGACCCACATGGGAGGCAGCCCTCTCCTGACCCGCCCGCTGCTCCCCTCAGCAGTGTACTTCGTCAATCTGCCTGTTCTGCTCCCCGCTCTGTCTCTGGTGAAGCTTCTCGCCGCCCCTGAGCCTCTGGCCTGTACCCCAGTTCTGTATGAACAAATAAATAAATTTTTATTTAAAAAAAAAAAAAAAGGAGTGCTGTTGTGCTTCTGCAGATTTGCAGTGTGTAAGGCTGTGCTTGGAGCCTGGTGCATCTGCAGTGTCAGTGGACAGCTAGTATTGAGATGTTAGTTCCCGGGATGGCTCAGGAAATCAGAAGAAGAGATTAGCTTAAAAAGGAGGATGTGGAGGGTCCTCCCTGCTGGTGCAGTGGGTTAAAGCACAGCACCTAGAATCTAGGAGCAGCTTAGCAGCAGCTGCTTCAGCACTTCAGTGAGTTCAGTCCCCAGCCAGGGAGGTGCCTTTATCAGTCTCCTCCTGGGAAAAAACTGATTTGACCCACATGGCACGGCAGACTTCTGTCTCTCCCACTGCTCCCCTCAGCAGTGTACTTGTCAATCTGCCTGTTCTGCTCCCTCCTCTGCCTCTGGTGAATCCTCTCACTGCCCCTGCATCTCTGGCCTGTATCCCATTTCTGTATGCATGAATAACAAATCTAAAAAAAAAAAAGGTGAAAATTGACACCATCATACTATTTTCCATTCATTAGTCTCATTACAAGCTTACCAGGTATTGACAGTGATAAACAGGTGTGGTTTCTGTACTAACAGGAACTTCACAGACAAGGAACTTCAAATGGAAGAATCTTTACAAAGTTATTTGACAACTTTTTGAATGGTAACTTTGTTTGAATAGTATCTACACATCTGTATTAGCTGGCCTGCTACAGTAGGGCCCAGGATTATAACAGGATTAAAAATTCCTCAGAAAAACCCATTTTTATACACCTAAAATGATTGAAACAAATGTAGGCATGAAGGTCTGAAAAACAATGAAATTCCGGTAGTGATTTCTCAGTCTAGAAAATAACATCTCAAAGTAAACTTTCCAAGATCTCTATTTATATTTTTGTCTGTTGCTGTCCTTTATCTCTTAAATTTTACTGCTTTTCTACTAGACATTATCAAATTTTGAGGACATATTTCTTGATAAAGAATTATTCCTTCCTATCTGATTTTTAAATTTGGTCATGTATTCTCAAGGATGTTCTGAAAATGTGAATGTAACTTTAACAGATATCGAGAGGCAATTCAGAAGTGGGATGAAGCGTTACAGTTAACCCCAAATGATGCTACCCTGTATGAGATGAAATCACAGGTAATGATTATGTCAAACACTTTAACTTTGAATTTCACTGCTCGGTGAGCAATAATGAACAAAAATAGCATTTCCTTCCACTTTTTTAAATATAATTCATTTGGGAAAAAACATGTCCCCAGTCCGTATGGCTCTGCCTTATGCTTAGTGTTAGAAATTTGCTTCTTTTCATAGTAAAGTCAGCTGTTATTTCACCCTATGGCAAGATATGAGCAGTTGTTTATATTTGTTTATATTTTTAAATGAAATGCAATTGTTTGGAAATTAATTATAATGTGCTTAGTAGTTTACTGGCTTTTCAGAGTGAGGATTGATTGTTCTGAATAATGATCGCTTTCTGAAGATAGCCTTATCCGTAGCAAAAATCAGAACATTCTCAATTTATTGATAGTTTAACAATAGTTTATGTATTGTGAAAATAAATTTTTAACATTTTGTGGCAAAGTACATGAAACCTCTGAGCACTTGGATTCTGTTATCTAAGAGACTCAAAGTCTCAAATAGCATTAAACAGATTTTTGTCAGGGAATAGTGCAATTTATTCAGCTTTGATCCATACAACTAATTTTCAGGTGCTGATCACAAACATAGGGCACATCCTTTAATCAACTTTGATTTTAATTTATCTCAGAAAAGCTCACATTATGTACATTGAAAAAGAACTCTGAGGATCTTCACTTGGGTAACTCTTTAATTTTTAACCTAGAATGTGTATTTTTCAAAAGCAGTTTTTATGGCAAACAGTACAAAATTAATTGCTTGATTTGGTCCTGTTAATGATGGTTGTGTCACAAATCTTGTGAGCCATGGATGCCTCCACAGGTTATAGCTGAAACCCAGTCTTTCTCATAGATTGAAGTGCCTTGGCACATCCTGATTTATCAGATTTCTATTGTTTGAAGAACCTAGTAGTGGAGAGACCTGTGGAGTGTTTAAATGACTTTTGTTGCAGGAATATGTTCAATAGTGACAGGGTGGGTGACTGAGCAAATTTAAATCACCTAGTTTAGCAGCAAGACTTGTGGTTCCTAAAAACCACATTGTAAACAGAATAAATAGAAATAGAATTGAGAGTCCAGATAGCTCCGAACTATCATGGCTAGAATGTGACTACTATTTTGACTAGATGGACAATAGGTTCTAATGTTTAGACAGGAAATCATGTAGCATTTCATAGTTATTTCTGGAATAGGAAGAAGAGTATGATTTCTCACCCTGAATAGCAGAGGAGGGGATCAAAACCACTGACGTACTATGCTTACCAAGCTAAAAAAAATATTTTTGTAAATGAAAAGTGTTGTTCACACATAATTACCCATTCAGAGTTTGCTAGCTTTTTGAATATTACTGATAAGTTTGTTTCTTCTTTTTGACTATAGGTCCTAATGTCTCTTCATGAAATGTTCCCAGCAGTTCACGCAGCAGAAATGGCTGTCCAGAGAAACCCACATTCCTGGGAGTCTTGGCAAACTTTGGGACGTGCTCAGCTTGGATTAGGAGAGATAGTCTTGGTACCGAAGTCAGATTGTTATAATGACGAAATTTTCTTACGATTGTTTGTTTTGATCAGCTGATAAATAAAAAGGAAATAGTCATTTATCAGTCTTACCTAAAAATAAGTTGTAAATTACATTTTAAAGATAAAAAACTCATAAACATAGAACCGAGCACACTTAGTTTTTAAAACAAAGAAAATTAAAAACTGATCATTTTGTTTCCTAGGCAATTCGGAGTTTTCAAGTAGCCCTTCACATCTACCCAATGAACCCTGAAATATGGAAAGAAGACCTTTCTTGGGCAAGAACACTCCAGGAGCAGCAGAAGGTAGCACAGAGAATTAAAAAAACTGAAGCACCAGCAGAAGTAACACATTTCTCACCAAAGTCCATTCCTGACTACGACTTTGAAAGTGACGAGATTGTTGCTGTGTGTGCAGCTATCGCTGAAGAACAGAAGGTGGTTTCAGCACATAAAACAATGGTTATTGTGTCAGCTTCTGGGACCGTGGAAACTGTAAGTGAGAAGGAAGATGGCGCGGCACCCCCAGATGGCTCTGTCTTTATCAAGGCCCGATGAGGCCAGCGGGAATTACTTGAATGTGTCGTTTTGATTGCTACTTAAAGCTAATGAGGCGTAGGGACATTTACTGTGGAGAAGTAGAACAAACCTGTTTGTAAAATAAGTTTAGTTGTTCAGATGAGGCCTATACAAACTGAATAGTAGATGTCTTGGATAGTGTTTGAGGTATGCTTGGGTACGTTTTGATTTAAACTTTCTAAGATTAGAAGTGTGAATACAGTGGTTTTAATGAATGAGATTAATTTGATTCAAATATGTAAGTGACTACATTTTAAAAATACACCTTGAAAACTGGTTTATCGAATAATGAATAACTTGATGGCCAGTGTTATTAAAACATTAACTTGTTGACTTTTATATTAAGTGGTGATTTCTGTCCCTCTTAGAAATATGACAGCTTTCACTATGCCCTCTTATGTTTTTGTTTCATTCGTATGGGTCACAGAATTTGAATTTTTTTTGACATTTTATTTTGATTCAAATAAAATGGTTACCTGCAGAATCTTCGAAAGTTCAATTAAAATGCATGCAAATGTTTACATTCTGAATATTTTCAGAAGTTTCTCTTAGCTCTGATTTGTACTTATGTTTGGACTTTAAAATAACATAGTAGTTGCTGCCTTCAGGTCTTTATAGATGTGTGAAGTATTGATAAATGTTAAAATGGTGGGTGTTTTTTTTTTTTAGTTATTAAAATAGTTCAAATAGTTCTTACCATAAACAAGTAATTTTTAACATGTACTTTTTAAAAATGAATGACTCTTAACACATCATAAAAAAATTAGATTGCTATATTGTCCCAGTTGAAAGCAGTGTTTTCTTTTCCTAATTTTTAAGTCTAAAGCCTGGAAAATAATTTATATCTTGCTTATAGCTTTCCAGCTAATGGATTTGGAATTATTTTTCTAGATAACTCTTTTGGAACCAACCATTCAGTGAAATGAGAAATAACTAAGTGGCTAAATTATCTCTTTCTAAAAATTAAAGGAAAAGGGATGTTAGAGTTAGTATGAATGAATGAATAACTTAGGCACAATATAGGCAGACTCTGAAATGTAATTTATTGCAAAACTATAATGAAGACAGATAAAATCCCATGAGTAGAAAAGGATATATTGAGAAAACTGTGCATTGAAAGGCCACAAATTCATCCACAAATCAATACTGTCATTGTTAATGTGAATTACTATTTTTATACTACTTATATCAGTTATATAAAAAGTGCTGGGTACTGTTTCTTCTGACACTCAGGAAGCTATTATTGGTATAAAGTTAATTTTATCCTTGTTAGAGCTGAAAGTAAATTACTCTAAGGAATCTACTTTGCCGTTTTGGACTGTGTGTAAGTAATGGTCTACGTTTTGTAGAGAGACTTCAGTTTTTGTTTTTTTTTTCTCTTTATTGGACCGCTTACTTCTCTTTTTCAAAGTTGGAAAAGTCAGCATTTGTCTTGAAAAGTATTATTCCCCCCTCCAAGTTATATGGAACAGTCCTGATTAAAAGAGGCTAGTTTAGAGGCGTCAAAACCTCCTGAAAATATTAATTATATTTACTTTTGCTTCATGAGGGATTTTTTCAAAATGTAGATGGTTGGGTGTGGAAATAAGTGAGCACTCAACATTTGGTGTGTTGTTTGGGGTCATGGGTGTTTGTTTTTAATGTATTTGTGAATAAATATTTTCTGCATTTTGAAGATGTCTGTTTTGTGTTATTAGCTTTGGAAAAGTTTGAGGTATTTAAATTTCTTTTTGATGTGAATATAAAATATGGAGAGCACCTGGTATATGGTGTCTTGTACATGAGGTATTCAGTGGATGCTAGCTAGCCATTTCAGTGAAGACCTTGAATGAGTTTACAGATATTCAACCTCTATTTCTTTTGATTTTAAGAAACGAAAATAATATCTGTATCTCTTCCTAACTTGGAAGTGAGAAGTAACTCCTGCAGATGATCGTAAGTTGAGGATTGTCTTCTTGCATAAGGTCTATACCCCACCCCCAAAACAGTCAAAACCCAGGATGGTGTCTGTAGCCACTATATACTATTCAGGAACCTGGGGTTTCCTCTGTGTTAACTTTGGAATGCCTCGTGGGCTGATGTTTTAAGGCATTTAAAATAATTTCTACATAAGGTAGAAGAGAAAAAGTGAATTATAGAGATGGAAGGTAGCTTGTTTTCCATCCCCTAATGGAAAGAATTAACACTTTTATATGCATGAAGAAAAAAAAATGTGTACAATATTTTATAAGGGTATGATTGCTGATATGAAAATCTTTACTAAGCTTATTAACTAATAACATATCCTTTTGATTCTGAAAGAAATAATTGATATTCATGATTAAATAAAATGTTTAGCTTTCTGAGATAACACTAAATACAAATTATATTGAATATAATGTGTGTTGTTTCTACTTGCAAATTGCGTGACATCAGCAGTCATTATGAACACATCCAGTCTGTCTGAAAATCTGAATCACGCTATTCTCTAGACAACACGTTCTGGGATTTGTAGACTATCTTAAGTTGCTAAAAAGTGCAGCATAAATGTTGAAAGGTCATGCTGGATAGAGAACAGAAAACCCAGATCTAATATATTTGGGCTTTATGGTGCTAGCCAAAGTATGTAAAGCTTTTGAATTGACAAAATTATAATGAACACTTAAATATAACAGTGACAACTTTGTCTCAGAAAACTAGAGTTTCCATGGTTATAACTGACCAGTAGAGGCTTTTTCAGGTTGAAAATTATGCCTTATGTAATGTCAAAATCTTATTTCACCACCTTTCCAAGCAGTAAGAAAATAATCATTTCTTTAATTTCAGACTTCATGAATCAGAAGCCCCTCTAAATTGACTCTGAACCAGACATTCTGAGCTTTGATTTTCTGACATTCATGTATCTAAACAACATGTACACAAGAACCATAGTTTATAATTACCTTCAACTTTATGAGCATTTAAATGTTGTTTTTAAACTGATGGTGCCATTTTATAGTTGATAGCATTAAAAATGAGAAAGTGGGGTGTTTTTAAACCCAATAATAAAATATAGAAATTAATGATTTACTCATTACGAAAGTAAATTAAAAATTAAACATGTCATTTTAGTCACTTCCACTTAAATATGCCCACTTGACTGGAAGTGAAGGGCTGACCCTGTAGTTAGTGTACAATGAAATATGCCTTAATGTGTGTTTCATGTGAACTTCACCTGTTCTGTGTGCCAAGATGGAAGAACGTTTTGGAAATGCTGATCTGTTTTGTTGGGAAGACAGGGTGGGGATGGTTTCCTTGCTGTGTACCACATTGACCAAGGAATCCGGATTTCTCCCTTCTCTTCTCCTTCCCACTTCTCCAGGAAAAAAAAAAATATAGAGTAAAGAACTGGATTTACAAGCCTTCTTCCCCCCTTTTTTGGATTTGCCATGCTTGCGGAGTGCTGTGTTCGCTTGCTAAACTTGTGGGTTTTGCAGTGAAGTCCCTGCCCTCTCAAGGAGACATGAGCAGGACTGTCTTAACCTTGGTGAGCAGGTCTTTCTAATTTGGGGTTCAATCATTAGGTGGCCATTATTGACACAGACCTTACATGGCCTTCTTCTCAGTGATATGTCTGACATTGACTCTGAATCTCCACCTGCCTGCCTCTGTCTCAAGTTGCTCTAAAGTCAGGAAGAGACAAAGTATAGTTTTATGATTTCCTCATGCCCCAGCAAAGATTAGTGAAGAATTATATTTCAGAGTTAGTATGAGACAAATTAAAATGCAAATTGGAACTTCTTTCTAACTTAAGATTTTTTTTTAATTGTAAATATATTTCCAATGGTTATTTTTAATTATAAGGCAATATGTAAACTTTTGTTCGGAATATTTGAAATGTCTACTGATGGGAAATTGTGACAAACCACAATTTGGACTATAGATTTAATTGGAAGAGAAGAATATGAAATCATGTTTTCTGTCCACCCTGTCAACTTTTTGTGAGTGTAATTTATATATAATGAAACATCCATTTTAAATTTACAGTATGAGGAATTTTGATAAAAGCAAGTATCCAGATAATCAACAGTACCATGAAGATATAAAATATTTCATCACCCATTAAGTTTTCTAGTGCTGATTTGCCATAAGTTTCCCTGTCACCCTAGCTAATCAGCACTATTCAATATGTTTTTTGTGACTATAAGTTAGATATAACTTTTCTGGACTTTAAAGCAAATCATACAATATGTACGTTGTGACTTTTTTGCTGAGCATAATTTACAGTACTTTCACATTATTGTGTAGATCTAACAGTTCTTTTCATTGCTAAGTATTATTCTATTGTATGGATACACCACAATTGTATCTATTCATATCTGTTGTTGAAATATCTAGGTTGTTCATGATCACCTTACTTGATTTAGTATGAAAAAAGCTGCTATGTATATACATCAAATCTGTGTGTGGACAAATGCTTGTATTTCTCTTGGGTAAATCCCTAGAGATGGGCTTGCTTTTTGTCTTACAGTAAGTCTATGTGGAATTTTGAAAAAAAAAAAAAAATGATGAAACTTTTACAAAGTATTGTATTATTTGCTTTCCTACCAGCGATATATTAAACAAATTTTATTTGTCCCATATCCTTGTGAATTCTTGGTATTACTGTTTTTTTTTTTTAATTTTAAACACATTAGTGGTTATATAGTGTTATCATTGTGGTTTCAATGTGCATTTCTCTGACGATGTTGAACAGCTTTTCATATGCTTATTTGACATATCATCTTTTGGCAAGTGCTTGTTCAAACATTTTGCCTTTTTTTTGTCTGGCTTATCCTATTGCATTGTAAGTATTTTTGCAGTGTTGTAAATAAAATTCTTTTATGTAATATATGTGTTAATATTTCATCCTGATCTGTTGCTTGCTTTTAATTTTCTTATTGATAACATTTAAACAATTTTTACTTATGCATATAAGAATTCACGTCTCGCAACCTAACCCCCATTTATTTTTCCTCAGAAGGCTTTTAATTACAAATTCAATTAAAATATAGCTACAGCATAGATCTTACGATGTCACATTGAGAGTACGGTTTGGTTAAGTCTAGATTTGCATTGCTTATGTCTTTTTTAATATCTGTTTTATAGATTACCCTACATCCTCCCTTGCAACTTATTTTCAGAGGAATGAAGCTGTTTGTCTTATAGGATTTTTCATATTTCATATTCTGTTTATTGCACTTCACCTGATGTCATCTATATTTCTCTGCACTTTCAAGTCCTGCATATCGGCACTTAGATCTATATGAGGTTTAGTCAGTTTTGTTCATTGTTTTTGGCAAGAATACGTCATGAGTGGCCTTGAGTAGTTAAACCTAAATGTAAGTGTATTTTAACTGGCTTGCTCTCTTTTCCCACTTACGTCAATGTGTTGATTAGCATTGCCTAGATCCATATTTCATTGAAGGCTACAAAATAGTGACAGTTGTTTATTTTTTGGTGCCAAAAAACTTAGAGAAAACAACTTCCCTACAACTATTTTGTTTCCTTAGAAAACTCTGGAGTAAAGTTCACTTATGAAGCTGAGGCTTTGTCCTACTGTTTAATACTTTTCAAAAAAAAGTTAGTTTTCTCCAAAGGTGACATTGAGGTATTTTGTTTTGTTTTTATATCATAATGAAGCTGTGCATCAAGACATTCTGATGTTTTAATTCCTTCAGTTACTATCCACATTCATGATGTATACATTCTGCATTTCAGTATTAATTGCTGCTATGTTTTCAAAGCAGTTGTATCAATTTAACATCCCATTAACAGTGTGAACTAGTATTTTCAGACTATTAATTTGTATAAGTATGATTTATATATAAAGGTGTAGATCACTGACTTCACTTACTCATTTTAGAAGTTTATGACATGAGCTCTTATTCTTGATGAATGATTTTTAGCTTTAACATTCTTCCCATATATTTTCTAGTAAGATTGGTGATAAATTTGGCTTCAATCTATATTCAATAGTGTGGTTGTGTTTATGTGTATTACTCATAGTTTTTCTCACCTATGTTTTAATTTTTCCTTTTTTTCTCATGGAGTTGGTCACTGCCTGTTCTTTGTATTATTAATTTCCACCCTAAAAACCATTAAAACAGGGCCCTCCCTGGTGGTGCAATGGGTTAAAGCCCAGCACTGCAAGTGAGCTACAGGGCTTCAGTGCTAGTTGGATCCCCCGCTGGGAGCTGACCCACATGACACAGCAGACCTCTCCTGACCCACCCGCTGCTCCCCTCAGCAGTGTACTTCGTCAATCTGCCTTTTCTGCTCTCCACTCTATCTCTGGTGAATCCTCTCACCACCCCTGCACCTCTGGCCTGTACCCCAGTTCTGTCTGTATAAATAAATAAATCTTTTTAAAAAATTAAAACAAATGAAATACTGACTCATGCTACATGGGTGAATCTTGGAAACATTATGCTACGTAAAAAAGGGCAGATATAAAGGGCGTATATTATATGGTTCTGTTTATGTGAAATGTCCAGAATAGGCATATACACATACTCCAGGAGTTGGAGAAGACATGAATGAGTAGTGACTGCAAATGGGAGCATGGTTTCTTTTTAGGGTGGTGAATATGTTCCTGAATAGACAGCAATAATGTTTATACTTTGTGGGCTTATTATTTTTTTTTAAAGATATATTCATTTATACATACAGAACTGGGGTACAGGCCAGAGGTTCAGGGTTGGCTAGAGGCTTCACCAGAGACAGAGTGGGGAGCAGAACAGGCAGATTGAGGAAGTACACTGCTGAGGGGAGCAGCGGGTGGGCCAGGAGAGATCTGCCACGCCACGTGGTCACCTCCGGGGCAGGCAGGAATCGAACTCATGTGGACCTGGCTTTAGCTTCTCAGTGCTGTGCTTTAACCTGCGGCGTCACCAGGGAGGGCCACTTTGTGGGCTTATTAAAAATACATGTCATAGACCTTAAATTTTGTAGTATGTGAATTTGATTTCAATTAAGAAAATAAGCCAGAGTCAGTGTGTTCTGAATGTTGAGCCAAAGTACAGGATGAATGAGATGATGCCTTGAGCGTTAGTAATGCCAATTTTCAAATAAGGCTTTTGTTTTCCTCCATGAACATGGATGGTGAATGTTATGTGTTATCTCATTATTCATGTATGTGGGAGAAAAACAAAAGCCACTTCCTCAAGTAAAATGTTCTCTGCAAATGTCTCCTAGCTGTGGTTAGTGTGGTAAAACAGTGCATTGGAGAAGTTTGAGCCTGTGCTCCTTTTCTGAATCATCTCTGTCTCAATTGAAGACCTATATATATATGACAGTTTGTAAACAACTGCCCTTTTTCCCTGACATTATGCAAAAATAACTTTAAAACTTGGCAAAAAAAACCTTGCAAATTGCATACCATGACCGAAGAATATTATTGCTTGAAATGTGTCCACGTACTAGGCTGTGTCAACATCACATAGCTTTCTAGAAAGGTGGGTACCTCAGGAGAAGTTAGTGAACACAACAGTATACAAGTTTCTTGTAATCAATATTTGGGTTCTTTACATGTAGCAAGTCAAGCATTATACTGTCTTCCCACCTCCCATACAAATGTGATTTTGAATACACCTCACACCTAGATCTTGGTTTCTAAATACCATTCTCCACTATTGGACCTAAGGCTTTGTGCTATGAACACTTTTCACCAGTGTTGTGAAATTACTAAAGATGACCTGAAACAAAAATCACACCAGTTTTCCAAAACTAAGGATATGGAACTCAGATTGTTATTTATTTTTTAAAACTTCCAAAATAATTTCAGTTGGTACAACTGCTTCTTAAAACCATATCACTACCAGGCTCAGAATTTAATTACAACCAAACAGTTCACAAAAACACTTTGAGCAACAAAACATGCTTAGTATTTCTTTAAGAAAGTCCCTTCAAAAATGTGGATGGCATCACTGGGTGTGAAGTAGACTTAGACTAGACTTAGAAAAGTACGCTTACATGCTCAATTTCTGACCTCTGAACGCTGTGTTCAACTCCTAGGACATCTAAGAGGACAATAAACCAGTTTTTCTACAGTCATCTTCCTAAGGTCTATAAGTCACAACTGCCTTCTTAAATTTTAGATGATATTCTACAGTTTTCTTTAGGAAATTAAAATTAGGCACAATTTTGGGAGGAAATAAACTACTGACTATTTTTTACACTTCAGGTTATTTACTAAATGTTTTTAAAATTTGTTACATTTTTTAAAAGTAGAAAATATTTACCAGTATGTTAGATTGTCCTAAAATCACAGTTTTCTGTAGCATTGCCAGAAATGCTTCTGTATGTATTACATACAGCCTGGAAAGTATTTCAGTATTTTGGACTTTAATTTTCATGTCTCAAATTGTATTTTCTTTAGTCTTTTAATAGTACTAAACATTCCCTTTCAATGATGTTTTTTTTTTTTATTGATAGAGTTGGCCTGAACCTGTTAATGAAAAACTTCTGACATGTGTAACTTCTGCTGGTTATACAGGGAGAAGGGGAGTTACCATACTTTTATTATACTTTGTATTAACAATCAACCTTCTCACAGAGAAGAAAATCTTTAAATATTTAAATCATATTTACAACAATAAAATTCACATTTCATGCTTTAGTGAGACACTTAAACCTTCCACAGGTTGTCCTTGTGTATTGGAGTTGAGCCCTTCTGTTCTGGGCCTTCTGCTGTGTGTCAGCCAGAAAGCTCTTGATGTTATGAGAAGAACAAAATTGACACCATCTCTTATCAAGTAGAATAACTGAAAGGAGATCTTCCCAGCCTTCACCTTGCCATCTGTGGGACACAGGCCAAGTTGTGAAAAACCCCTGTCACCCTGAGGTGGCAACTTGCTTCGGCCCTCAGGCCCCATGTGAATCAACTGGATTATTTGCAAAGTGCTCAAGAGTCAAGATGTTTTGTCACGTGGAGATGGGACGAAAATAGCCCTTCTGAGCACAGGGAGCACTTAATGTGTCTGTTGCACTGGATTTTGTAAGCTTCGGCAATAGTGCTTCAGCTCTTTCTGTTGCTACTATATACATTTTTCTGATAAATTCAGAGTTTCATTGGGAAATGTGACTTGCAGGGCATTCACCTTTGGGGCAGGTCCCGCCCTGCCACTTCCAGAAACCTCATCCACCAGGAGGATGCTCTCTGAGTCCTGCCCCTGGGAAGAGTCTGAGGTCTCTGAAATTCGCAAAGTCCTCAGCGAGGTGGTGTCTGAGTGGGCCAGGCCAACGCCTGGCACACCTGGAAGCAAACTGCGGCCTCCAAGGCCATTTTCACTGAGCTCGGGCAGGTAGAGAAGGGTCTGAGAGGTGCTGCTGATCTCCTTCAGCTCCCGGGAGAGGAAGGAGCGTGAGTGGCCCGACATGGGGGAAGATGTCCTCCGACTTTCTGAGCAGTGCTGCCCCGAATGGTCCCTGTGGGACCCACCAATGCGACAGAAGAGGCATTTGATCTTCTTTATCACCTTACTGAGCACAGTCTTTCGCAGCAGGATATATATCCAGGGGTCCAGGATGGGGTTCACTGAAGCAATTCGAATGGCCTGCAAATCTGGATTTTTGCTGACATCTTTTTCCAAAGGTGGTTGGTATAACTGGTTGATGAACACTCGAACCTGCATAGATGAAATAACAAATTTAAGTTTATGGTTTGTGGACCAGGAAAACATTGGCATGCAATGTCTAGCTCAGCAGCATTTAGTACCTGTTCTCTTTTCTGGTATTAAAGGCCAAGGAAAGAGCATTATATACAATATGCCTCAATGAAGCCACTCATTTTGCAGTGACATTTATGTTTGGATAGAGTATAATGAAATATTGTTGTCACTGTCTTATGAATCGTCTCAAGGTCAAAGAACACAGAAATGAATGGTGTGCCTAAAGTTCCCATGAGGAACATTCCATTAACTCTTGAGCACATTTTTGTAATTCCAGTGATATCTCTTCTTTCCGTTAGCCATTGATTCCCTTTATTCCAGTTGCTACTTTCGACATTTAAATGAAACTTATTTCTTGAGTTAACTAGCCATCTATAAAGAACTAGCCATAGGAAAGCCCAGAAATTCCTTTATTTTGGAGTTAGAAGAGCAAATTGGAAACTTAAACCAGCATCTGAATCTCCTATCATCCGTGATGGCCAGAGGATACTTTTTATTTTTCCTCTGAGTCTGTTTCCCGGTTATTGTAATCACCTATTGTTAGCAACTCTCCCTTCAAAAAACCTTTACCTCAGGTCCTTTGCCTCCGGCTAAATACATGCTTCACCAGGATTATTGCATCAGTCACCTGAACTAGTTTTCCCACCTCAATTCCTTCTCTCTCCACTCCTCCTCTAATTGCCTACAGATTTCTAACATGCAGGTCTGATTGTGCTACCTGTTGTTAAACCTTCAGAGGCCCCTGCTGCTTATGAACTCTAGTTTTGCTAAACACCTGCCTCTCATGACTCCATCTTGGAACTCCACTCAAAACAACCCCTCCCCTTGTGCGTGAACAGCATTGGAGCTTGCACAAGTACAAGGGAAAAAACAGTCTGGACAGACCAGGAGGGCTGACAACTCATTCTGGGGCGGTTTGCACTATTTAAGGTAAGAGGCACCTCTCGAGTCCACCATAGGCTGGGGGTCAGGGGTGGGGCACAAGGGAGTAAGAGAAGTCCTTAACGATGTTTGCCATTTTGGAATCTTACTTTTGGCAGTCAAAAAATTTGCCTTATTACAAGCATTTATTCACTTGTTCTTTCACACATTTAGTCACTTAACTGTAAGCACTTATTGCATGTGAAGCAACGTGGTAGTTCCTGAGCACAAAACATTGCATTGAACATCACAAATTTGTTGAAGGTAGAGAGTAACCTATATAGCGCAGAGGAGTGATCAGCTACAGCCACAGGGTGATTCAATGAATAGGTACATACAGGGAGGAGCAATGGCAAGAGAAGCTTCCCGGTACCTGGTTCCAGGCAAGATGAAACTTGCACTCAGTTTGATGGATGAGTGGGAGTTTGCTAAAGGTAGAAAGGACATATCACCTCAAACAGAGGTAATTCCATGTGCAAAGTCATGGAAAATTGAAATGATATACAACTTCTGGAAACTACAAATGACCTATGTGTAAATGTACCTATTAAATATACACTCTCAAATTTACTCTTTAAGTATTATTTTGTCTAGTTTGACATCTAATCCACTATTTTTGATATAAGTGAACAATCTGTAATTCACATAAAATTGGTTTTAAGATCATTGCCATTTTTCTTTAGTAATTAGTTAATAATTATTGCTTGTCTTTAGTATTTATTTTAGGTTAAGGAAAAGTAAGAGGTGACTCTCAGGGCTAAAGTAGATGCATATGCACCAAAGACAGAAGAAATACAGCTCACAAAAGCGTAGCTGGAACCATTTCACTAAAGGAAAATATCTGTGATTTAACTCTGATATGACATCACTATCATATATAGTATAATAACTAATGGTAGATGAATCACCATTAATAGAGACATTTTAGAAAGATTTATATTTTCATTTTAGAAAAGAAAGTTAAAAGTTTTTGAACAATTGTATGGCAACACATTTGATAATCTAGAAGAAATGGACCAGGATAGAATTAGGAAAAAAGATAAGAGCTGAACACAAATAAGCAAATAATGCCTCAAATTCTTCAAAACAAAGGAAAACTTTCAAACATATCTGTGAAGCCAATACAACCCTGATTCCAAAACCAGACACACACCCTCCAAAGAAAACAATAGACAAATACCTCTGATGAACATAAATGTAAAAATCCTCAACAAAATACAAGCAGATCAAATTCAACAAAAATATTAAGAGAATCATACACCATCATCAAGTGGGAATTATTTAGGGGATGCAAGGATGATTCAACATGTGCAAATCAATAGCTATGATAGACCACCTTAACAGGAAGGACAAAACTTATGATTATCTTAATAGATGCAAAAAAGGCATCAGGGAAGATTCAAAATCATTGTGATATAAGAGACACAAGTGATCAAGTATATAAGAATTGTAATTCAATATAACAAAGGCTTTATATGACAACACACACAGTGGATAACTGAAACTTTTCTTCTAACGGCGAGAATAAAGCTGTTCCTACTCAAATGGTGTAGGAAGTTAAAAGCAGTTAGACAAGAAAAGGAGGGGAAATGTATCCAAATTGTAAAGGAAGAAGCAAAAATTTTCCTATTTGCAGATATCATAACATACATAGAAAATCCCAGTGACACCTGAAATAAATTTTATTGTTCTTCAGAAACTTAACTCACATGAAACCTATTCTTAGATGATGTTTGGTCTATGATGAATAGCTACATTTTTGTTTCTTCCTTAAATGGAATAATCCCTTTTAAGAAATTACTGCTATTCATTTGGTATCATTTATTGTTATGCATTTGTTTGTTTTTGTTTACGAAATCTGACCTAAACTTGTTTTGGCAGCAAAACCTTGACTGACTGGACTACAGAGCTGGGTATAGCAATTTCTTCCACTTAGTGTGCATATCCCTGTTTTACTGCAGTGATAATGCCTCCCTTCAGATGAGGATATTGCATATTATAGATTTTTTTCCTAAACTACTTTTCAAAAATCCAAGAAATTCTGAATTTTTAAACAACCTAGCTAAGGATGTTTTTTGGATAAGGGGTTATAATCAGTTCTGTGAAATTCATATAATAAAATGGTAAAATGGCTGCCATTAAAATGAAATTAATACCCTAATCTTTGAAGACAACTAAAGAAAATTGGAACTAGAATCATCAATGGTGACTCTTAAAATACACTTGAAAACTAAGCACGTATAACGTAATGGTTTGATTTTCTGTCTTCACAAAAACAGGAAAAACAAGACATGTTGGTTCTTCCAACTACAGTCTTTGGTAAGGTTGTAAGCTGTGTTCAGGTACTGGGAGATGCCCTAAGGGCCATGGGCCTTTACTCAGGTGAAGTTACTGAGACCTGAGGGTTTTGAATAAGTTAACAAGTCCCCTCCCCACCCATTGTTGACTACTAAAGCTAAGAGCTCCAGGTGCTTTTTCTACTCTACCATGGGCAGGTTGCGTAAGAATTTCTTAACAATTTAAGAATGACATTACAATTCACGTATTGGTAAAAAGGCATGGAATCTATATTTTGTTCACATCACATACTGTGTTCCCAATGGTAAACGATACTGATGGATTTAAACCAGGCAATAACAGGATCTGGGTGTAGTCTAGGAAAAAAACCCTACACTAGGTTTCCGCCTACTTGAGTTTCAGTCTCTAGGTGGCAGTGTTGCTTCACGTGGAAGTTTTGGGCCCCACAGAAAAGGTACTTCGCATGGGCAAGGTTAAGATCCTGTCAGAATGGAATCTGGTGAAGTCTGAACTGCGCCTTTCAGATATTTTTAAACAATGAAACGTTTCGTTGCTGATTGTTTCTTTCACCACTACCTCAAAGGAAGTGGCTTTGGCTAAAAGAAGGAAAGTTTTTAAATAGCTAAAATGGATGTAAAAGGAAAGAAATTTGTAGCTAAATGTATGAGGTGTTAACAGTTTGTTTTAATTTCCATGATCTTTTAGAAAATACAGTGTTGCAGAAACAATAATAGGCAAGCAAAGAATCATTTCTTTGCCTCTTTTCATCCATTCCACAATGAATTTTGATTACTGTAGAAGTGAATACAAGAAAGACCTATTTTAGTGTGCCAAGCAAGGAAAAAGATTACAATTAAAACACGCCACTGAACCGATCCCTTAATATGATTTCAGTAAAGGGAACTCACAGGGTAACATAAAGATGAGTGTGCGAATACCCCAAGGTCAAAGCTAGTCAAATTATTTGAAAAAATGCACGTACGCATTTCTCTGTGGAGAGTTACTTCAAGTACAGACAAGGAAAATGAATAAAAGCTTCACACACTTCATCATGTTTGGAAAAAAGCCCCAGCAGTCTCTACTTCACTTGACCTGTTCCTTGATTTACTGTCCTCTAAGGGGGAAAACCAGCTGCGGATGGGAATAACCGGTGTAGGACTTCAGTGTCATGTGGGAGGTGAAAGAAATTTTCTGGAATTCTTGTGGAACAGGCCCTGTGCGTTACACCAATAAACGTGTTCAGGCAATTTTCAGTGTTGGAAGAGCGCGAGACTGATAAAACCTTTCAGTCAGGATGAAAAACTCCTTGAAAAAACACCCAACACAAGCAACACATGCACAACTTTAAACATATTTTTTCAGTAACTGCAATTTGTGCATGTGGTTTATCATGAATATTATCAGACATAATAATATTGAATTCTTGAGAGTGACTACAGATTATAGTTAAGGAACATTGGAACATACCTGAATAAAATGTGACAAATTTAAGAGAGGATGTAGAGGGGGTGAAGACAGACAGCTCTGGGAAAGCTGCCTTGGAAAGGTAAAATGCTCATGATTTGGAATCAGACAACCTTTATTCAAATTCAGGCTCTGCTCCTTGTAATTCAGATACAAATGAAGAAAGTGCTTAGTATAATGCCTGGTAGCTAACATATGTGCTGGCTGTTCTTGCTTTTTGGTAGCATGAATTACTGGTATATACCAATAATACCAATAACCACTGCAGAATATAGCAATAACTTGAAAATCCCATTGAAGGGGAGCTTGGGGCTATGTGCTTCCTATTTAAGAATAACATGTTGGTAGGGAATGTCTAATCAGAAAAGATGGCGGGAGTTTTCATTAGACCGATTTAGTACTTGCTTTCTAGTATACAACAAAGTCCTATACCTGCTTCTGAACAAATCCTGTGAACTTGTTCTCCTACTCAGGGATCTGCTGGTGGAGTTTGAATGGACTTAGCTATTGCTAAGTCTTTTTATCTTTATGCAAAAAAAAAAGTCTTAACTTTAAAGACAAAAAAAAGTACTGGAAGGAGTTGGTGTGACAGAAGCCCATTCTTCTTCCCTCTGGGTCATAACTGACCACTTGATGCAAGCAAATTACCTCATCTCTGAAGTACCAGCTCTACTTCAGCAATTTATTTCATTAATATTTTTTTCTTTAAATTCTGACTTTCAGCATTCTAATAGAGGAGAGGACAAGAACATTTCAGTTCTGGGGAGGGGAAAACCCTATTAATTGCTGTTCAGTAAAACCCAGCTTCAGGTCAGCAGGGCACAGTGCAAAGAGCAATTAGCCAGGGCTCCCCAGAGCAAGCTGCAGGAGCCAGCCACTGGCTTTGCTGCCCTACTGTGCTCCTAGCACAGGTTTTAAGGTTCCTGAGACATGGATGAGGAAATAGCTCCCTGTTATCCCTGCTAAACTACAGTTTTCAAAGTGCTACAAAGACTAGGTCTGCAATTCCATGTTAAGATCAAAAAGCTGCTTTTAAGAAAGGTTACTTCTGACGTAGCCAAATTAATTTCACAAAGAATCAAATTCTTCAGATTCTGTTGGAATAGACCTCACATTTATGTTCTTACCCCTGTATCTAGAGATGGGAGTTTTGTTCATTGAATCTCCTACCAGGTGCTTTATAGCACAGCAGTGTATTTACTTGTAGTTTTCCTCTATTCTAATACACCTGTGCTCATCAAATTCTGGTGAAGGCTTTATGAAAGCTACTAGCTTATAGTAAGCAATCAAAGAAATACACGCAGGATTTCCTTTCCTGAAGCCCTAAAACTTACAATCTAAATCAGAAGATTAAATAAATTGGCCATTCCTCCCAACAGAGATAAATACCTGGCTACTTCCCAGTAAGGAAGAAAATGAAAGAAACAAGTGAACAATAAATATCACCCTGCACTGGAGAAATGTCTTTCCAAATCCTACCTTAACTCTTTAGCTCTGAGGCAAGAGATTACCACTGTTATATTAATATCAGTAACTGCAAAATTAGCCCCAGGAGCTGATCTAACCACAGCCTTCACTTAGCACCAGGACCTATGAGACTGCCTTGCCTGCCAGTTCTTGGGCTTCAAACCCTTTTATTTACCTGAAATGTAGATTCTCACTTCTCCAGTTTTCTGTATTTGAAAGTCCAGAGAGAGGTTATAAATAGAATAGACCGCGACAAGAACCACCTCTCCAAGCTCTGGTCATATGATGTCCTCATAGGCTGTACTTACACCTTCTCTGCTGGCTGATTATGACTCACTTGAGAAAATCGTGCCAGCTCAGCACAGTTCCTCATAGCCATGAATTTCCCAATCTTTTCAAATTTTGACCAAGATCATCTCTATTTATGAAAGCTATATATATTTTGGAAAGAAAATGAAAATTTGACTTTTTCTACAAAACTCAGTATCAGCCACCATCCAGAAGCCACGGTGGTTTTTCATTGTCTGGCATCCAAAAGACAAAAATTGGTGGCATTTCAGTGGCTGTTTATTTTTCTTATATATTTTGTCATGCTCTCTGAAATCCCAAGGAAATGAAATTTGCTCTAATAGCCTTTCCAAAGCACTTAAAGTGATTTAAGTTTTACTTCCAATAGGCATCTAACTGGTTGGTTGCCAATCAACTTGATATGACATAATTAAAATAGATACCTTCCCAGTAAGTAGCTGGGTTCAACTGCTTCAAATGCCAGAGTTCAGAAGCTTTCAATTTAAATTGCATTGTTAATATAAGAAAATAAGAACCTTATGAAAGTAAGCCAAGGAAGACTACCATTGTGGATGTTTCCCTTTTCATTCTTTCCATAATTGCTAGTGTGGGTGGGTTGGTATAATAATGACCCCATTGCTTCTCATTCATTTACAATTAAACTGACTCTGAAACTAGACTTTAGCAGCCAGTGAGATTCCTTATTATCTACAAAGGTTTGTGAGTGCTTGCCAAGGTGTTGGATTCTTCGTGGAGTCAGTTTCAATTTTCAGAGTGAAATTGCTTCTGATCTACTAAACATGACTGTCTCTGTACAGAGTGGGTAATAGCTGTCAGTTAAAGTGTGTTCAAGCTGCAAACCACAAACACAGCTCCCTGCATTTCTTGCCTCTAGTTTCTTAAGTAATTCAAAAGTTTTGTTAACAAATGGTCTGTATCAAAGGAACAGGTCTACCACTTCAGTCCTGATAGTGAGCCGGGTGTTTTGTGATTCTCTGGATGCCAAAAGCAAGCAAAGCTGGTCAGCTGTGACTGCAGTTACTTCTGACCACATACATTCTAAAACCATGTCATGTTGCTAACTTTCTACTTCTAACTCCTCAGTTTCTGAAAGTGGAAGTTCTGTAAATAATCACCACTCACTTTGTCACTTACTGTTTTGGCAAAATGAGGCAGAGGCCAGAGAAGGGGGCTCTCAGAAGAGAAGCTGTTTCTTCCAGGATCTCACTTTATTCTGAGTTGTCTTTACAGAGAGTAAAAATGCATGTGGCTCAAGTGCAACTTAGCTTTATAAATTATATTGCATTTTGGAAGAGTTTAAAGACACTTCTGACCAATTATATTTACTTCTGTTTATATAAGTTGGCAAGAAGCTACTACTGTACACTGGCTCTCAGCCACATCTAAGTTCTTTCCATTTACAGTCACTTTTATCAAAAGTGTAATAGTTCATATTAAAGACAAACTATATTTATATTAAAGATCCCTAGACACTACAAGTAAGAGAAAGGAAGGATTTTTTCCCCTTTTGCTCCCAATTGGAAAAAGAAAGACAACTCATCTCCTCTGAGTTAGTAGTTTAGAATTTCCAAGAATGCAGTGTTTTGGAAAATAGGAAAATTCAACTAGTTACTTTCAAGAGAACTGTAGATAAAGTGTTACAGTCTTCTTGTTTCTACATTCCATTTTATGACAAGCAAAGTAGGGTATTCGGTAGTTTTGCAAACTTTCTGCTTACAACCTTTTAAAACCTTTCTACATGTAACACTGAAAACATCCAAAAGCAATTTCAACTAAATGCAATTTCACAAATGTCTACCAAATGCCAATACACACTGTAACAAAGGCCAACTGAGAAGTGTTCTAGAGCAATGGCTATTACATGAGGAGGGTTTGGAGTCAGCGGGGCTGAGCTTCATCACAAGCTGCAGGGTTCTGGCTTGGCCTTACATGAGATGAAGTCCCTCAAGCTCTTTTTCTCTGCAATGACAAAGAACCTCTCACAGGCTTTGAGAAGTCAAACTCAATATCCGGTGTATACTGCCTTCCCGCCCTTAATATGCTCCCCAGAAACCTTGCTTTCCTGGCCTCTAAGGAGGATGAAGGCACCCTAGTGCCTCACATCCGGTGAAGGAATTGTGACCCACCTGGACCCTGAGAGTTCTCCCAGGGCAAAGCACAGGCAGTGATTCTAGCCTGCCCGAGTTCTGCCTGGGGTATTTTAAGTTAGTGACTCCCTGCAAAAAGTGAGGCTGTTAGACTAGACCATAAAGCATGCAGTACTGGTATCTCCTGTCCCTCCAAAATTCTACATAATCCTCCCAAGAAAACCCTACACCAATCAAAACACCACCCCTCCTCCTAAGAAGAGCATCGGCCAAAAAGGTCCCAAGGCCTTTCAGCTCTGCCCTCCACTGTGTGTGGTACCGGCCAAGACACACCAAAGTGGTTTCCCCTTCACCTTTGCCCTAGAGCCGCGGGGGTTCCCGTAAGGCTCTTGGCCAATGTCTGGCAGCAAAGGGTCGGGGCTGTCCCAGCAATGAAAGGAAACCAAATTTTCGGGGAAAGAAACTCGGGGGTGTTGGAAGAAAAAAATATGCTGGATCTCCTTAGGAGATGGAGCCCATGCTGAGGACCCCAGGGTGGGGCTCCAGCTTTGACCTGGAGGATTCCGGTTCATGTCAAGGAGGGAGCGCGAGACAGTGGGAAGTACGTGCGGGTGCAGGGCCGAGTGGAGCCTGGGCCCCCGGCACTCACCACGAGCGGGATGGAGCAGATGAGCACCACTAGGGAGGTGGCGATGAGTAAGATGACCATCTGGATTTCCGCGCCCGCGATGCGGCGGAAGCTGCGGCGGCGGCGAAAGTCGCTGAGGCGCGGTAGCGCCGGGGAGGCGTTGGCTGGGGTGCTCCGGCAAGCCACCGAGGCCGCGGCCACTGCGTGGTGCTGTTCGATGCCCAGCGAGGTGCGGCGCATGAACTGGCGGTGCATGCGGAGCAGAGCGAAGCACACCAGCACGTTGCAGAGCACGGTGGCGAGAATGAGGAAGGAGCTGAAGCCCGCGTACATGTAGGAGAAGGCGGCGTGTGCGGTCACGTTCGAGGTCCAATCGATGAAGCACCAGGTTTTCGGGTACTGGAGCCGCGAGCTGCCCAGGCCCATGTTGGGCAGCGCGCAGAAGAGCACGTTGGATGCGTAGACCGCGAAGAGGGTGAGGCCCGCCAGCCTCTTGTCCACGTATTGGCTGTAGAAGTAGGCGTGGTTGATGGCCAGGTAGCGCTCAATACTCATGGCACAGATGATACTGAGGCCGGACAGGCCGAAGAAGAGCAGGATGAACGTGCTGTATTCGCACAGCGCGTCGTCGCCCGGCCCGCCCGGCCACCTGCCCTTCATGTAGGTGGCGATGGTCACCGGGCTCACCAGCAACGTGCCCAGCAGGTCGGTGACGGCCAGCCCGCACACCAGCGTGTAGAAGGTCGTTTCCTTCTGCTCTTTGCGCGACTTGCACAGCACCACGATGGCCACCAGGTTGCCCACCACCCCGAAGATGAACATCACAGCCGGGATGGTCACTGGGCTGTTCAGCCCGTCGGGGTTGAAGGAGGCGGACGCGTTGGTCCCGGGGGCGGACATGGTGGGTCGGTGGCACGCTGCGTTGGCGTGCGAGAGGCGAGGGCTGGTGATGGCAGAGGAGAAAAAGGCAGGATCAGCGGATATCACCAGAAGTGTCAGAACCCAGCCCCCAAAACAATATGCAGATGAGACCGGGGAACAACTCTACCTCACACTGTGTACAGATTATAGCCACTGGCCAACTTCCGCTACCAAAACCTTCAGGCTACATCCTCCCGCAACACCTTTCTCCCGATCTCGAAAGTTTTAAGTAGATACCGCCACTCTCTTTTTCCTTCTTCCCTGCCCGCGAAGCACTCACTCCAATGCCAAGAAGCGCTAGAGTAGTCAAGGGAAATGTGACTCCCTTTTATTCCTGACAGATTCTGAGTAAATACAATTCTCACTGTCAACAGGTTATGGGCGACAATTTGGAGAGTGCGCTCTCTTTATGGTGGCTCCTCTCCCGGAGCGGACCTCCGTCCCCCGACTCTTTGCCCAGTGCCCACAATGCCATCTCACCTGAGGTGGTCGCGGTGGTGGCAGCCCCGTAAGTCCCCAGGGGCAAGCCTCCCGCCTACTCAGCTGGAGCTTGCCAAGCCTCTGCTTTCTGAAGGGCGGGTCTCCGCGACTGCTAATTTTTCGGAACTGGGGTCAGAGTGGCCAGCTTTTAAAAACTTGGAAAACCGGCGGGGCAGCGGGATGGACCAGGGCATCCAGACGTGGGACTTCGTTTTCTTTCCTTCGTTCCTTGAGAGATGAGCCTCGGATTTGCTAAACCGCAGGCCCCGTCTGTGGACGGACAGCGTCAGGTGTGCGCTCTGGCGCGCAGGTGGCACGGAGCTTCAGTCCCCGGCTCTGGCCACCCTCCGCCCCAGCCGCACAGCACGGGCAGCTATCGGACTTGGCTACCACTGAAGCCGCTTCTGGCGTCCTGGAGGCGGCTTGAGGTCCACTGAGCCGGAGGCTCTGACCTGGGGCCATTCATCTTCCTCCTCTCTGGCTGCCGGGTTCCGAGCTCCGCTCTCGCCCCTACAGCCAATGTACAAACTTTTCTCCGACCGCAAGTTTCCCTGGTGGAGGCGGGGCCACGACGAGCGCGGCCCGGACACCCATTGGCCAATGGGGAGGAGGCGGGGCGTATCTAGCACCCGGGTCTGCAGACGGGCGCGGCTGGTCCGCAGCGGTTCCGAGGGAGGGGCGCCTGGCTACGCGGCTCCCCAGGGCGCTGGGGGCGGCTTCTAGAGACCTTCCCGCCCTCGGAGGGTGGGATTAGTAGAATCACTCCACTCTTAGGCTGCTAGTCCGAAAGGCTGCAGTCCACCGGCACCCTGGGACGTTTTGGTGCTCTCTGGCACCTTTTTTTTTTTTTTTTTTTTTAAGATTTATTTATTTGTGCATACAGAACTGGGGTACAGGCCAGAAGCACAGAGGTGGTGAGAGGCTTCACCAGAGACAGAGTGGGGAGCAGAACAGGCAGATCGACGAAGCACACGCTGAGGGGAGCAGCGGGCGGGTCAGGAGAGGTCTGCCACGCCATGTGGTCACCTCCAGGGCAGGCGGGAATCGAACTCATGCGGAAGCGTCTTTAGATTCTCAGAGCTGTGCTTTAACCCGCGGCGTCTGGCACCTTCTTAATCAAGATGAACTTGACACCAGAAAGGCAGAGCTGAAACCAGCATCCCTCACTGCGTTTCGCTCCAGTGGGCTACTCGCTCCTTTTACACGCAGCAGTAAAATCTGGGTGCTGGCAAAGATGAGCAGTTGCTCTAAGACTACCTTGTAGCAGCATTGGCAGGGTGTGGAAATTGTGTGTGCGTGCGCTTGTTTGTTTGCTCGCTCGCTTGCTCGCTTGCTTCTTTGCCCCATGGCTCCACTTGGGTTCGTGCCACAGAGGCAACCGCGACAGTTTGTGGGTGGGTGTATTGGTATTTGGCACCTGACTTGGACGGGGAAACCACCAAGAATCCCTCCTCTTGTCACGAAAGAAGTTAGTTGTCTCGTGCTCACAAAAGAAAAGGAAAGGAAAGAAGAAAAAGTGGAGACCGCATCTCAGATTCTCTCCGCCCAGGTGCAAAACCCTGGGGCAGTAGAGACGCGTCCGCGGGTTGGAATGAGGAATTGGGTGGGAAGGCAGGCAGTCTGCCTAACCGCCGACATCGGTCCTCTCAGAGGACCTCAGGGCAGGGTAAGAAAGCCTTGGGAGCTTGTTGCCCTGGTTGTTATAGTCACATTAGAAACTTGAACCAGGAATACTTTGGAAGGCTGGTGGAGAGTGAGAAGGGAGGTTAACACTCATTTGACTAAAGGAATTCTGCCATCATCGCCTTAGTTAACTCTTGGGAAAAGCCTATTCGATCTGTCCCATTGAATTACAGGTTACTTGATTTCTTTTGTGGTGGAAACAGTTTTTCTGTATACTCATTTTCAGTTTATTTCCAAGAGCAGAACCAAAAACTAAAAAAAAAAAGAGATAAAAGTTATGTGTAATATTTTTGCCCCTGTTAGATGAGGTTGGTGGTTCTTCACATAATTTAAATTCTTAGAAAAATCTCTTTCCCTATACTATCTATGATATATTTTTACATATTGTTTCTTCTCTCAGGGTAAACAAAAAACTCTATAAAGTTTTATATTCTGATTTTTTTAATACAATGAACATGCACTCATTTCTTACTTGCGATTACATGAATGAAAAAATCTAAGAGTCCCTTATTCTCAAATGGCAAAAACATCCGAGAAGTGAGTGCAGGAGAAACAGGACATTCCAGATTTCAACTAATTACAGGACGTAAAATATTTGGAATCACATTTGTTTGTATAAGGCACAGTGTGGCTATTCTAATATAACATCCATTTATTGTGCATGCTATTTCCTCACGATTATCACGGATTCAGAAAGAAAAACAAATTCGTTAGACAACATAAAAAGAATTGATGGTTATTTGTCAGGTTCTCAGAGATTTCCCTAAATCACCACTGTCACCAATTCTCTCCTCTGGCATCTTTTGGAGTAGTAACTTCTGAGATTGTGTCAGCACTGAAAGCAAGTCAACACTAGAAAAAGGAAACTTCACACTCTACCCCCACCTTCCCTAATTGCATTGTATCATCCCTCCCCTCACAGCATTGTCAGTAAATATTTGAACAGGGGTGTGGGAAGTGCCACTTACTCTCACTTTTTGCTGATAACAACATTTTTTTTTCAATTTTTCTTTCCATTTGAAGTTCCTAAAATGCAAAGCATTTAGGGTTGGTACTTAGACATTTTCCACCATAAAGAGTATATTCAACATGAAGTCATGACACACTGCTGAGATAATACTTAGTATCTTGTTATCCACTGAACTATTCTCACTAGTCCTTTCAATTTTTCTAAAGTAGCTTCAGGAAAATGAAAATGATGACATCAAAATGAAGTTTATGTGTATCCTCTTTTGGTTCATGATTTTTAAAAATTAAGTTGAAATAGAAGTTGAAGGTTTGAGAAACAATTATTTTAACTTCATAATATGAAAAACAGAACCAGTGTAGTTGAATTTCCTTCACACTCTTCAAGTAATCCATCGTGAAAAGAAATGAAGAAGTGCCATATGATGTGGAAGATTCTTGTCATTGCTTATAAATTCAAGGAAGAGATTTTGATTGTTACCATTGATTTCTATGGCCCTGTACAGTTTCTGCTTCCATGCTCACCTCTTTTTACTCTAAAACTCAGATTTAAATTTTTAGTACTATCATGAAGTCCTCTTGGATGGGTCTGGGTGGTAATAGCCTAAGAACTATCTGTTCACTTTGGCCCTCTCAGCCGAGCTAATACTTTGCTTCCTTTTCATAAATGGCTTAAAGTGGGAGCCCACTTAAAAGCAAAGTCTACTGGCAGCTATAGCCATAGTCCCTTTTTTCTAGGTTGACTCTTCCTTGGATCAAAAGAATAGGAAAGAAATGGGATGGTTCTTAGGAGGAAGGAAGTCGGAAGAACCAGATTGAAACTGGCCCCTTCCTAAGCCAAAGCTGGCAAGAGCATTGAACATTCCAAAAGCACTAACATTCATATGGCAAAGTCTGCACAAATTGTGTTTGCGCTGTCTTTTATGAGAGGTCACAAGATCACTTCATTGAGTGAAAAAGGTATCAATCTGGTCAAAATAACACACTGTTTTAGATACCTTTGCCTGTCTCACACCCACACAATTGATTCACTGGTTTAGAAGCATGGCATTAACCTGATTTTGGGCATGGAAAAAAATTGTGTTTGTGGCCTTCTTATGCCTTCTCTGTAGTAGAACATTTCTATTATGTAGTCTTGTACTTATTTTCATTTTCAAGCCTAGATTTTTTTCTGAGTCTACTGTGTGGAGTTGTTACGCATGTCAATATACATTAACTCCCCAATATCTTCATGTGGCAATAAATTACTGTGGTGGAGGTTGCTTGCCACCACATAGTAGCTTAGACTGCTTCTGTCTCTGAAATTATACTTCTCAAAATGGTGGCTTCTACTCTATTATTTTTCCCCTCTGTTTTTCTTCAAACAATTGTTTCTATGGTTCTCTTGGGCCCATAGGTAAAGAAAGGGGTTTTCTTACTGTTGCTCATTTTTGAAAATAGAGGTGGACAGAGAATGTCTTACCAATTCAGGAGTCTCGGATATAGGAAGATGGACAATTTGATTATATTTTAGTTTTTGTCACTTTTCCCCCATTGCTATATATTTCAGCATGTTAGAAAATGCAAAGCATCTTTTAATCAATAACAGCATCCTTTGTATCTTATTTTCATTGCACTTTTATACTTGTCCTTACATATAATCCTATTAGCACCCCCTGAGGATGTTAGGTTAGGAATGATTTATCAAATCCTGTTTTTACTTTCCCTTGAACACGGAACTGGATATTATTTCCCGATGAGGTGGTTGTGGTTAGATGAAGCCCATGTTACTAAATTTTGACCAATGGATGCAGGTAGAAATTATATGTGCCACTTTTAAGCCTGGTCCTTAAAATTCATGGGTCTTCTATACTTTCTGTCTTTCCTCTCTTGCCAAAAAAAAAAGCCCTGTTTAATGGCAGAGCTACTGGATAGAGGGGTCTGGATTCCCAAATGCCTGAGTGGAGTGGTACCCCATTCTATCCCCCATCAGTATCATTGAACAGTAAAATGGAAGAAGGAATCCACTACAATTGTATATGTGTGTGGTGATGGGGGAGAGGGCTGGTTTCAGCAGTTAGCCTCGGTGAAAACAGGATGATTGGCATGTTTTGTTTTCAGCAATAAGAATGTGGGCACAGAAGAGCTACGTGATTTGCTCATGGGTACAAGAATTAGTAAGACCAACTGAAATTGATCCAGTGCCTGGTGTGTGTGAGGCATTGGGCTAAATGCTTAAGTATATGCCACTTAATCCTTATAATAAACCTATGAGGAAAGTATTTTGAAGTAATATTCCATTTTATAGATGAGTACTGAAGTTTGGTTAAGGAATGTGGAGACACTCATTTAAAAAAAAAACAAAACTACATGGTATCTGGGGCTGATGGTATCGGGGTTCTGCAGTAGAAGTAGCTGCTGTTGAGGCCAGGGAACCATTTCAATTTGGGGTGATATTGACTGGCTCTGCTGCTGCCAGCTTTTCTATTGGTGCAACTTACTGCCTTTCCAATGAACTACTTTTCTGTTGAAATTGACCACACTCAGTTTCTGTTGCTTGCAAACAATAACCCTGACTAATATAGAGAGATTGAGTAAATTAAGGATTACAGTATTAGTAGATGGAAGAACAAAGATTTCAATCTACATCTGTCTGATCTCCAGCCCCACCCCACCAACTTCTATATTTTCTACCTCTCCTCAAGCTGGAGCTACAACCAATAATCTCTCAGTTTCTTTTTTCCGTCTTGATATCAAAGAAAAATGTAGACGAAAGGCCAAATTACTCAAATTGTTTAAGCCTTAGTGAAAAGGAGTTTTTACTGAGTTGACTCTTGAATTTTAAGAAATAATGTGTACAAAAAATG